GCGTGGCACTTGTTTCTAGTAGCTTCTTGTTACTACTAGTAAGGCACTTGTTACTACTAGCGTGGCACTTGTTTCTAATAGCTTCTTGTTACTACTAGTAAGGCACTTGTTACTACTAGCGTGGCACTTGTTTCTAGTAGCTTCTTGTTACTACTAGTAAGGCACTTGTTACTGTTGATACCCTTCTGCGGACATGACCGAAAACACACGTTCCCAAACCAAATGCACAAAACAGATCCGCTGTTCTTTTTCAACGCTTCTTTGGTTGGGGTTCCTCCTTCGTGGGAGGTTCTACAGGCCATCAGGCCCTCACAACAAAAAGGGCTGCGTGACGCAGTCAACCCTCAAGGAAGTGCGTGAACACTCCCCCTGTCTTCTTCTGAAGACACCAACATTCGAAAAATGAAGCCTTCGACCACCTCACGGGTACTCCCGGATGAACCGTTCTTCCCGCTCGTGAGGATGGTCTTCAGCCTCCTCGCCCTTTCAGGCTCAAGCCCCTTTCCGTTGTCAGTGGTTGGTGATCCACCAGTGCTCTTCTTCTTTCTCAAAACTTCACCAGCTCAGCTGTCCCGGGGTGTGGCCGGCAACATCTGCATTGTACCCAACACAATGCAGCCAACAAACATAGTTTTCCATGCCCAACCATTCATTTCCAGGTTTTCCAGCTAGGCCAGTTATGAGCCGTAGGCTTCAAATCCACTTTCTTTCGCCAAGGCCAAAATGGCCATAGGGACCAACAGCTCTGCTAGGGTCCCTCCTTGGAACATCATCATCACAAGTTCAAGCCCCTCCTTCGGAGCTCTTGGGAGCAAAGAGTGCACTGGTCGTACTTCTTTTCGCTGCCAGTGGAACAGGGCAATGGCGACGGGGCGTTCCGGTGGTAGATCTCACCCCATCCTCTACACCAGATCGGTTCGCCCCTTCGAAGCCTGCTCTGCTCACTGCAGTAGGCACACCTGTGGCACGGTGGAGAGCTCCTCAAAATCGAAGTTTGAAGCGACTGGCAGGACTCAAATAGGTGGTATCTTTGGCCGAACTTGGTGATGAAGACTCCAATAGTGTCTCGGCCCTTGCCTTCCCCTTTTCCACCTTCTGATCCTCCTTCGCTCTTTCCTCCTGCTGAGCCCGCCTGCTGAAACCTTCTTGGGGCCGCCTTCGGTGCTGCTGTTGGAGGGTTATCACTTGGTTCCCAGCTTTCATCCAGCCTGATGTCACGATAGTCCCTTTCGGTGGGATGATGAAGAGTTACTTCTTCTTCCACCTCCATCGCTTCAGGACCATCAGGTTCAGCCTCTGCTGGGACCTCCTGTTCAGGCTCCTCTTGAATCCCTCCTAGATTGGGATCTGTGTTGGACGAGGTGGCCATCGATGCCGGTCCTGAAGATCCAGAACCCATCAAGGGCTGTTCCAATCCAGCCATGACCCTTTCTTCAGGGCTCAACGAAGACATCCATCTGATGAGCCATTCACGATTTTGGATGCCGAACTGGCTCCTTTCTTCTTGGGTCATTGGCCGAGAAGCCCCATAGGCCCAGTCAATCTCAGTCTGCTCACCCTTTCCTTGACCTTTTCCTTTTCTTTTTCCTTTTGACCTTGCACTTGGCCGGTTGACTTCTCTTCCTTGCCAATCGACGGTGATTGAGCTTCCTTGCGATGGCTCTGAACTTGTGCTACCTGGTGGACCACTCACAGGAGGATCTTCTGGAATCCCGGCTGCGTGATCTCCTCCTGGAGCGGCAGGTTCAAAAAGCCATGCGATGAACCTTCTCAGGTAGAGCGTGGCAAGCACAACCAGTAAGGTGTAGCCCAACACCAAGAACTTCAAAGGTCCTTCATCAGATGGTTGGCCCTTTTCATCACCTCCTCCTTGTGCTCGAGCCTTCGCGATGATGGCCATCAGAACTGCCAGCTGCATCTGGTTGGCATTGATCTGAAGTCCGGAGCGACCTTCTTTCTTTGGTCTTTCCTTTTCCTCCTTCTTTTCTTCTTCAACCTTCTTTTGTGTGTATTCTTCCTTCTTTGATCTTGCTGCCTCTGGGCCGTCCTCCTTTACTTCCTTCTGCACTCTTGCTGCCTCTGGGCCGTCCTCCTTTACTTCCTTCTTTTCTTCTTCAACTTTCTTTTGGATGGCCATGGACATAAGTTCTTTGAGCTCCAGTGTTCGCTGGATGGGAAGCGGCTTCGTGCCCAAGTCAGCAATCATGATAGCGCCAGGTAGATGCCTGACTCTCCAGTCGAGGTTTGTGATCCTCCATCGGACATGTTGTGCGCGAAGCCTCAAGTGGCGTGTCCGCCAATTTGCATGTCCATCTGCGAAGAATCCTGTAGCTGCAAGGTTGTCGACGAACAGGGTCTTGGTGTATGGATCCTCATGTTCTTGGATCATGCTGTCGACAGCATCCCCTGTTTGCAGACCTTCAATAGCTTCTAAAAGCTCGGATTCGGCTGTTGACAAAGCCGGGAACGGTTGCCTTCCACTTTTCCAAAACATCATAGCTCCATTCCACAGGACCATGACGGCCCCATGGGAAGCCTGAGTCTCTGGAATGGCAGCAAAACTTGAATCCGTATAGACCTCCAGGGATCTTGGCCCTCCATCCCAGCCTTCTCCTCGTCCAGGGCGGAACTCAAGACCTTCCTTTGGAGTGTTCTTCAAATACTTCCAGACCTGTGTGGCCTGCTCGGAAGCCCAGGTGGGATGTGTCAAGATCTCCTGCGCACATCGACTAGTGGCAAAGGAGACATCAGGTCTTGTTCTTGTTGAAAGCCACATCAACTCACCCACCAGTTATTGAGCTTCCGCAATCTTTTCAGCTGTAGGTTCTTCTGGATAGGGCAGAGCATCCTTTGTCATAGGCACCTTCACACTTCGACCTTCTGGGATACCCTCCTTGTCCAGGATGTAGTCTTCTTGAGAGGCTCGAAATCCGCCTTGTGGGGCCTGGGTCAGCTCCATGCCGAGGAATTTGACCTTCTTTTGACCAACCACTTCAGGTTCGGACGTTTCCCACTCATCTTGAAGCATTTGGACGATCAGGCTTGTTGTGGTTGGATCGCTGGCCACCATCAAATCGTCGACGTACACCAGCAACAATCCGACCAGCCATTCATCACGGTCATCATCAATTCCGTGGCCCTTCATGATGCTCCACAAGTTTGGTTCCGCTTCGGCCTGGACAAATCGATGGCCTTCTTTTGACTTCATCTTTCGAAGGACACCATCACGATATAGTCCCCAGCACCGAGGCGATTGTCGCAGGCCGTACATGGCTTTCTGCGCCAAATAGAATTCTTTGACTCCCACGTGACCAGTCTTGATGAGCAGCGAGGGAGGTTTGAGCACCACAACTGTTGGGTCTTGACCATCATCTTCTACATCAAGGGGTGCATTCAAAAATGCGGTGCGGATGTCGAGGACCGTGGCTCCCCAGCTCTTTTCAGCTGCTTGCTTCAGCACATAGCGCAGGCAAACGGCATCAGCGCCCGAAGCATAGAGACATTGATCCTTTTGGTCTGGTGTGGATTGATCCACAAAGTTTCCACAGGCAACCAACCTGATCTTTCGTCGTGGTCCAGGTTTGAGGGTGATCACAACTTTGGATGGAAGGATCTCCAAATGACGACCCCACCTTTTGCGAAGGTGCTCAACTTCATCCTCAGAGATGCGCTTCAGCGCCTGCTTTTCTTCGAAGAGCTGGTGCAGTTCTTTCTTTATGGCCTCGTCCCACTTTGGTGCTTCACTAAGCAACTCCTTGGGGGATACGATCCTTGTTCGAAGCACCGACTCTTCTTCTTTGGGCATGGCGCTTTTGACCTTTTTGAGCTCCTCGTAGACGATGTCCATGACTTTGACCTCATCTTTCAGCATGATCACGCTTTCCTCCAGGACCACATTTGAGAGACGTTCGAGGTTCCTTTTTCTTTCCTCTTCCATCTCTTCATATTCATCCTTCTTCATACTTTTTGCCGTGACTTTTCCTCGGATCCTCCTCCTGACTTCATGCGGGTCTTCCTCTTCATCCATGGCCTTAGTGATCGCCAGCCATGTCCATTGGCTTGGTTCTGGCTCCTTGGTCTTGGTGATGAAGTATGGTGCAATCGCCGTTCGACCATCTTGTCGGAGTACGAGGTGTCCGTGGGCATCTGGTCGCGGAGCTAGGTATTTCACCACTTCATGTGTACCTTCTAGCTCCTTCGTTTTCCAAAACCTTCTTTTCACCAACAGCTCACGCCCAAATGGCGGCACATCATTGAGCTCTTTGTCGGCCATTCTTCGACGTTCACGTTCATGAACATAGTGGCATGCTTGCGGCCATCGACTTGCAGGAAGACCAACCATGCCCAGGAGACGGCGAATCTGTCCCTTGACAGTTTGAATCGCTCTCTCTGCACGGCCATTGGACTGAGAGGACACTCCTGCAGTCGTAGTGCGATGTATATCTCGGGAGCGGCACCACTGGGTCAACGACCTTCCTCTGAATTCACCTCCCAAGTCAGTGTGGAGGCGAGCCACGTGGTATCCCATCACCCTCAACTGGATGTACATCTGCTGGATGGTCGATAGCACCGTTTTTTGATCCTTGGATGGCAATGGGATTGCAAGGCGGAACGTGACCAGGCGAGGTTCTTCTTTCTTTTCTCCCTGCTCTTCATCCTCCTGTCCTTCTTCACCATCCTCTCCT